AATAGCGCATTTCGAGAGTACCTAAATCCCGCCATTATTTCAAACAATATTAGTTCAATAGTATAGCTTTCATGACAACTTTTACTGAGGGCAAAAACGTTAAATAAAAGTAAATATTTTTTATAGATTTTTAGAATGCACCCCTCCTTATCCTGGCCAAAAATTACCTAAAAAATTACCAAAAATGATCATTCTGAAAAATTAAGGCATAGGCTGTACCCCCCATGACAGGAATTTGCAGGCAAATCGTGTTGATTTGCTCGCATTTCTTACACTCATGTTGTCTTGCAATTGTGAAGATTTTTTTATTTATTCCGGTTATATATGTATATTTGCATTTATACATAAAGGTAGGTTTAGTATTTGTTTGAATTATTTAAATATTTATAACTTTAGCTTTAATTTTACAGGGAAGTTTGTATGGTATTTACATAACCTGCGAAGGTAGACCACTTTAATAAACACACATTTACATATTCTATAGCATTATGTGGATATTAATAAGCCTCCTTGTATTCTGTGACTAAAACTAAGATTTAAAACAATGACATGGCCAAGAAGGTTTGTTGAAATGCACATATAAGAATATTTAAACCTATCATTGTTAATATGAAAGTCTAATATTTATGGCTGATTAATTTACATACACTGTGCTACAAGGTAGTTGCATTATTCACAGCCCACCTGTTGAAATATGGCAACTCATTTAGATTAAAATGTACTAATTAAATAAGCATAGAAGGTACCGGTGTGAAAGTGATTTCCAACATGAGAGTGTAATTGATGGTTTAACTATACATGTTCATTGTTGAGTATATCACATACTAATGGTTTCTCTATAGTATAGTATAGTATAGTATAGTATAGTATACAAATAATGAATGTTTATGAGTGCAATGGTAAGAATATTTTCATGAGGTGAAAGATGGAATGTTCCATTCAACGAGGCGACAGCCGAGTTGAATGGAACATTCCATCTTTCACCTCATGAAAGTATTCTTATCATTGCACGAAGAAACATTCATTATTTGTTTTATATAATACCAAAATAGACTAATAGATTCGTATGAGAAGCATTTTGACAACCTCGTTCCCAGGGCTTCAGTGTGAGGACGAGGCGAGACACGAGGAAGCCCTGGTCTGGGCCGGTCACGTGACGACAAAAAATGGCAGTACCTGACAGCTACTCGTTAAGGAGTGGCGAGATATTCTTTAATGAAATATACAAGTCTTCGAAACAAATAAATAGCCAAAAGATTTCTCAATCGATATTATTTATGTGTAGAGCAAAGTTTGGCACGAATCAGCTGAAATCTATGAAGATCCCGTCTATCGATTTCTAAGATATACTGATATTTCTGGAGATTTTCAACTACAGGCAAACTGCATCCAAGCTGCATCTAGGCGTCTCCATGCAAGTGAAATTTCCTTTCTCTCGTCTTGAACAATATGGTTATTGCTATAATTAATACTTAGTTTAAATATGCTCTTATAGATCTGACTTAGTTCAATATAAATAAACACAAATATAATAAAACCTCGTGTAACCTGTTTACGCTGTACAGGAATATACGGAGTCGCTTGTTTCGCCGGACACCAACACTTGCCGTTCAGGAGCAATGCTTGCCTACAAATTTTATCCCCTTCACAAGCTTTGTTTTATTTTATCGTATAGTCGCAATTCTAAAGTATTCGGGGTATTCTGAAACTGTAAAACTCGGTGGCGTGCGAATCTTGTAGAGACTACATCGGCCTAGGCGTAGAGCCATTAAGTAAACAGGGCCTAAATTAATTTAGTAGTTTCATTTAATTGTTTGTCTTGTTTTTATTTGTCGGTACAGAATATTGTAAATTAAAATATTACTACAATGCCATACGCGAATATTTCATCAGACATCTGCACTATACTGTACAAGGAAAACTACAGCTTAAATAATAGTAGACGTTTCTTGTTTTGTCAGGAGCTCACTTCGACACAGCTTTTGAGTTTTGTAACCGGCAGAGGCGAAAGTAAATCATGCAGTCGGGAAAACGTCTTACTTTGAAAGATTAGTTTGCACTCGTACACACAAGAATCATAAAATACAAATGTTGAATTGTTATTGTCAACTGTCAAGTTCAGTTATTTTTAGACAATATGGTGTTAGCCAATCAGAATGCAAAATTGACCGGCCCAGACCAGGGCTTCCTCGTGTCTCGCCTCATCCTCACACTGAAGCCCTGGGAACGAGGTTGGCATTTTGAAGGATGCGATTTATCGAAAACACAACAAGTGCAATTGTACTATACGTTTTGAACATGTTCCATTGCACTCTTGGGAAATGGAATTTTCTATTCAATATCATGTGACCATAAACAGCCAATTAAACGATTAGAATTTAATAAGGTATAGTATAGTATAGTATAGTATTAAGCAATCTGGGGCTGCATGTTCAAAGTTTGGTTTGTACCTGCATTAAAACTGGTTTAACCTGTGGTTTAATTTTGTGTATTCTTACATGCTCATTAACTCATTCTCATCCGGTCGAAATGTAGCAATTTTGAGTGGTGTTGTTTTAAACGCAAATATTTTTCAAACTATACATCATATGGAAACAGAAATCGCATCGTTCGAAAGAGGAGAACTTCCACTTTCAAACGATACCAATTTCAATTTCATCACAAGTTTGGTTGACATAATAACTTGCATAAATTTGCATAAATTATGATATAAAAAATGTTGCAATTATGCATAAACGTATTTACCGGTTGAAATTTCAAATATGTCAACAATTTTATGAATGTAACAGAGACAGTTTTGACCTACAAGTTTCATGCATGTAGCATAAATGGAAGTATTTTTGCTCAATTTTTTAATGAACTATGCAGTAGACTAAATTTACATTTTGTGCTCACATGAAACAAATACCCTTTTTCAAAGGTTCTTTTTCATTGCTACAGCATATTATCAATACTTATCACCACATTTCCAATATTTCTTACTCTCCAAGGATAGTATGGCACCAAAATAAGTCTGTGATACCCACAAAAGAACACTCAAATCACTATTTGCAAAATGTCTTTATTTCTACGGTTACCATATACATGCTTAGTTTTAAATAATAATTACTCATTTTGATGATGATGATGATGAATATTTAATCAGGTAACCTACTTCGCCAAGGCGATTTTCAGTAGGGACCTGGTACAATATCGTAAAAGTGATACAATAAAAATTATGAAGATTAAATAAAAATATGTTCATAGTCAATTCTAAAAATATGTAAATCACTAAAAATGTGTTTTAAATATAGCTAAAGAGTTACTATTTCGAACATCATTGTTTAAGGAGTTCCAATCCTCAGCAACCTGATAAACAAGCCTCTGTTTTCCCCAATTAGTCCTAACACGGGGAAGATGGAGGTTGTTTTTTGTCCGAGTGTCGTAGACATGAAGCATAGCATCAGATATAAAATTAAAATCATAATCAATCAGTTTGTTAATTCCTTTATACGCTATGCTACAGCGGTGAAAAAACTGTCTTTCAAATAAACGTTTCATATTAAGACAATGAAGTGCTTCGGTGGCTGAGTTTCTTGGAGGCAGATCCAGCATAATTTTGGCTGACTTGTTTTGTAAAATTTGCAAATGTTCCATCAAAGTAGAGTTGTTTTTATCACCCCAGATTATGTCCCCATAATCAAATAGAGGTAAAACCAAAGAGTGATATAGGATAAGTCTCGTACTAAGAGGTATAAGATGTTTAACCCTACAGATAACACCAAGCCTTTGATTTACTTTCTTAATAACACTGTCCACATGCTCGTCCCAAGTCATGTGTTGATGAAAGGTTACGCCAAGGTATTTGAAAGATTCCACTTTCTCAAAAACATCATTTATGCCAATTTTGAAAGAGACATGGACTTTGCTCAATTTTTGAGGACTCCAAAAAGGAAGTATTTAATGCTAATAAGTTTTGATTAAACCAATTTGAAACAATAGCCAGGTCTGAATTTAGAGTATCATTGATATTGTCTGGTTTTCTAGACGAGTAATATACAACTGTGTCGTCTGCGTAAAAGACAATCTTGCTCGAGAGATTACATGATGTAAGATCATTCACGTATATCAGAAAAAGCAGGGGCCCCAAGATGCTTCCTTGAGGCACACCAACTCCAATAGGTCCAACTTCAGACCTTTCCGAATTAATATTTGTAACTTGTGTTCTACATTCCAAGTACGATCGGAACCAATCAGTAGTATTCCTCTTCAAGCCAATAGCGTTCAATTTGTTTAACAAGACTGTGTGGTCTATGGTGTCAAAGTAGAGCTGCTCCCATCGGTTAATTTTCGTAATCGATTAATCGTTGCCAATAATCGATTAATATCGATTAATCGTATTGATAATTAATTTAAATATGAAAAGCCCATGGTGGTTTGACAGCTTTCTAAATTGAAATTAAACTTTACCAAATGTTTGGGGCTTGCACCAGTCAGTATAAACATTTTAAATCTGCGTTTAAAATGAACGTTACATAATCACAATTATAGATTGTGCACGTTCTCGCGCTGTTACACTTCACACAAGAGACATACATGAAAAAACAGCGGAACGATATTGAGGATGTTTACCTTATTTGTTTACCTTTGACACTCCTGAGTAAATTTTCGAGATTCAGACTCTTATGGATAATTGGTTTATGTCCCGCACGCCGCAATGTTGGACGCAAATGGTAATAATTTCTTCTAATTAAAAAGCTTTAAAGATATTTTCGCAGCACTTGTAACCCGATCAGACTATGGTAAACTTTACACTCTGCGAGTGAAATTGACAATGTTTTGAATCAATTTGTCATTTAATGTTTCAATCACAATCTTGTCGCATTTTTTTTTATAATGCCGAAAGACTGAACTCATTCCCACATCACGCTGTGTGGTGTTATAGATGATCCGATTACTGTTAAGCATAATCGATTGTGGAAAAATAATCGATTGATCGATTAATCGGGAGCAGCTCTATGTCAAAGGCCTTTGATAGGTCTAAAAACAGAGCACCAGTGAGATAGCCATTGTCCATTGCTAAAATGCTGATTTAAAATGTCAGCAATGGTTTTAGATTCACTATATATAACACCATCAGCTTCAATGCAAGAGACTGGATTTGTTTCTTTATGTGAAAGAATTTTGTTCAGAGTGTTCCAAAGTGTACTTGAATTGTTTTTATTATCCTCAATTAACCTTGAATAATATTCGGCTTTACATTTTCTTACTTCCTTATTAACTTTATTCCGGAGATCTTTGTACTGGGACCACTGATTTGGTAATTTAGATTTAATAGCTTTCCTATGAAGAAAGTCACGTTTTTGCATTAATGACGATAGTTCAGCCATCATCCATGGTGTAGACATACCTCGTATTTGTGACTTTTGAATCGGAGCATGATTGTCTATAACCGTGGTGAAACATGCATTCCACTTAAAAACTGCTTGATTTAGATCTTTGTTGGCGGTTATCGAAGACCAATCAACAGATTTAAGATCATTGATAAAATCTGGTTTAGTGTAATGTTTAAATGAACGATGCTCTATTACTCTCCCCGGAGATTTAAATTGACCAGCTTTATAGACACAATATATTAATGAATGATCGCTAAGGTTCAGTGGAAAAACACCATGGTCAACAATACGTTCAGTAATGTTCGAGAACAATAAATCAATCAATGTAGGCGACGTTTCAGTAACTCTTGTGGGGTCTGCTATAAACTGCTCAAAATTATGAATAGATAATAATTTAGACAGTTTACGCCTTTGTTCCTTGTTTGTAACCTTTCCCAAAGTTTGCATATCCACATTAAAATCCCTGAGTAAAATCGTATGAACATCCTCAGATATTGTGAGCAGAGAATGGCTTAAATCCTCAATAAAAATGTCCAGATTCACATCAGGCGCTCTATAAACTGTCCACACCAAGAGCGTTTTACATTTCGGTCTAGCTACTTCAATACAGCTTGATTTGCAAACCTCACTCATTAAATCTGTTCTTGAGCGGTATGGAATGCCGTCCCGAATGAATATCATAGTTCCTCCGCCAACTTTATTCGATCTATCATTTCTTATACACGAGTAACCAAGAAGAGATACCTCATTATCAGAGATAGTGGGTTTTAACCAGGTTTCTGAGATTGTCAAAATATCGAGAGGATTATCTTTCAACAGCATTCTTAGTGAATCCATTTTGCCCACGATGCTTCGGATATTAAGATGAGTGATTTTGAGCCGTCTAGATTTAGTAAGATTCTTTAGGGATAGACCAGGCCCAGGATTAGAAGCAACATCATTTGATAAGTATACCAGAAGCAACACAAGTGCAGTCCTTTGACCAAGAACACAACCAGCTTTAAACGAGTAGAATACACCTAATTTATAGCAAGCTTGACTATGGCGCTTCAGGGTTGAAGCCTTCAATGAAACTCCATCAACCAATGTCGGTTCCGCGAGATATCTTGACGCATACAATGTATCTCCATCGGTGAGACTTACTGTTGTTTCAGGAAGATTGATAAAATGATGTATAAAACACACATGTAATAAAATAAGGCATAAACCTCGACTGCCATTAACAGCTGATATACAAGCGGCCATATTTGATGCGAAATTGATTGAAAATATTTGATTGAAATTGATTGAAAATATTTGCATATAGCATGACCAAGTGTTGTTGGCCTCCGAAAATAAAACATCGTATTCACAAAGGTATGTGTCAAGTTTTTAATTCTCAACTTGGAGGCTTTTATAGACAGATAATCTCAACTGTTGTAGGGCAAGTTGACCATGATAGTCAACATGGTAACGCTGCCCGAACCCCAATCTGGGACAAAACGTCCAAAACTGACCACACCCAAAAACGACGCTTTTGCCATAGTGCTATCTACCAAACCATAAAAGCTTTGGCTGTTCTGAGGTGCTTATATGGTTCAGAGATGGCGGTTTTAGGCGTGGTCCGTGGTAAGCGTGAAATGCCTAGCACTGATATTTCACAAGAAAATGACCATGCCATACTCATAGTCAAACGTCAATTTGTGGCTTACAACTTCAAATATACAGCAGTGGATCTACATTACCTTTTTTCCTAAATCTTTTTGATAGAAACATAATTGGTACTTATTTAATTATATTATCACTGTTTTGGTGTAAAATAGTTAATATTTTGTGACCGAAATAATAATTTGAAATGTACATACCTCCTACAAATGGACGTATTTGGCCAAATTCTCCACTTTACTCCGCTGTTTATGGCCAATCTTGTTGAACTCCTTCCAAGTATGCAACTCAGCTCAAACATAATCACATTTTAAACACGTTTCAATTGGGTTTCAAGTAGATCCTAGCTGTTTAACCATTGACAAGGTAAAACCTCAACTTTGTCCAAATTCGGCGCCATTTTGTCATCCTGTATCGGTTGTAAACAATTCGGCCTTGTTCTTCTTCCAAGCCATTTCTATCAACTAATGACAAATTTAACCCTTTGTTAAGGGTATTAAAATAAAAATACAAATGAAATATGTGAAATGCAGCATTTTATCACCCTGTAAGGTGTTGCTTACGAGTCTTTCAAAACATTCCGTATAAATCTCATGTGACAAAGTGACAGGGCCACATTCAGGGTTGAATATTAGCCCTACTTATTCTTTTTACTTGGCTAATGCCAGAAGATTTTACTCATCAATGGGGAAGCTCTGCAGCTTAATGGGCAACCAAAAAATCTGACAATGTTTCTAGTTAACCCATTGAGCCACAATGCGGCCCAATACGCCCTACTTATTTTTTTACTTGTCTAACATCAGATGAATTTACTCGTCAATGGGGATCAGCTCTGCAGCTTAATGGGTTAACCAAATCACATGAAACTTTGCAAGCATATATAAAATGCACACAGAATACTGTTTTAAGTGAATCTAACAATATACTGGCATTATTTCAACCTGGGGTTGGTTGTTCAAAGGTGGGTTAATGCTAACCCTGGGTTAAAATTTAACCTGCTGTTTTAGTTTGTGTACTTCTACACATCAGTTTTCAAAACTTCAGAGAAGTAAATTTCTATTGATCCAGACAAGATCTCTGAAGAAATATTTCCAAACAACAGAATTTGCAGCACTGTATTTATCGGATAGTATCAGACGTAACACAGATAAAGGTTGTGTTACTGGTGCGCTGTTTATAGATCTGGGAAAAGCATAAATAACAACCTAGCAAAAAAGTAGATAACCTCCTGCTTGCCAAATTGTATGCTTATAATGTTACTGGTTCCAAATGGGAATCCTTGATTTATTGAAACAGTCGCTGAAGTTGAGGATATTCGCTTGGCCAAAATGAATAAGTTGACACTTCATATGGGTAAGACAGAGTTGGTTATATTTGGAACACGTAAGTACTAAAGTAAGGAATGACCTACAACCACCTACAACCACCTACAACCACCTACAACCACCTACAACAAGCCTACAACGATCTACAACCACCTACAACGAGCCTACAACCACCTACAACCACCTACAACGAGCCTACAACGATCTACAACGAACCTACAACGATCTACAAAGATCTACAACGGCCCTGCAACGACCCACAACGATCTACAACGACCCTGCAATGATTTATATAGCGACCCTACAACGACTTACAACGACCTATGTTCAGTGGCGGCGCCAGGGGGGGAGGGGGCAAGGGGGGACAAATGCCCCCCCCAATTATTTTTTGCCCCCCCCCCATTTTGCCCCCCCCCTCAAAAAAAATTATTAGTCTCTAAGAGCGACTAAAGGCTACACAAGCGTTTTGACGTTATCGGAAAATGTATGGCTTATAAGTTGTCATTACTCATTAGTGAATGCGCGTATACATGAAACTGTTTTTTACAGTTTCAATATTAGTTTGTAAATCTCTGAATGGTAAAACTTGCCAATACTCCAATAATACGTTTCAAAAAAAGACAAAAAGCTTTAGTTTTGCAGAGTTAAATTCTCAAACGTGTAAGACGTATCACGAAATTATTTGAATAAACCACATCGCATATATGGGGGACGAATGTCCTAAAGAGGGGCGATATTCCTAGGGTATTCGCCCCACCCCCATGGGAGGCGATATTCCTAGGATATTCGCCCCCGGGGGGCGATATTCCTAGGAATATCCCCACGTTTTGAGGGGGGGGGGCAAATCTCCTGGGGGGCGGGGCGACCTTTTTAAAAATTATATCTTGCCCCCTCAAAATTTGAGTTTGCCCCTCAAATGCCCCCCCCCCAAATTTGGAAGCCTGGCGCCGCCACTGCCTATGTTGAACGTCGCGATGCATGGCGATCATAACCTAAGTATCAGGTTCTATTTTACAAATAATAGCCTGAGCAAAGTTTATATTCAAACTGTCGCAGGAGAAATTTAAATTTCACACAACGACAACAACAATCTAATATAGTAAAATATATCAACAAGAATAGTATAATCTAGATAGATAGATAGATAGATAGATAGTTATTTTAAAAAAATTACATAGCAGCCAACCGGCTGAATTGCGTAATTTGAATATTACATGTGTTGGAAATGTCAAAAGTTAAACTATGTAATGATTAATATATATTACAATAAGAATACTCAAACTAGGAACTAAAAAAAGTTAAAATTAGGTCTTAGAGTTGTAAGTTAAATGTTAAAATTACGTCTTTAAAAACTTTTTCGCAAACGTTGCTGGGATGAAGGAGTGTCTGAATTCGTGGAAGATCATACTCATGGTACTTACGAAGATTTAGATTGGGGCCATGTCTTGGCGGTAAAAGACTGAAGAGTTTGTGCGAGGGTACTGAGATTCTTTCAAACTGGTTATCGCAGAGTTCCTGGCGTCTGTTATGTAAGGTGGTTAAACCGCCAATTGGCCCATATTAGCATCACAGGTTTTACTCGGGTCAATGATTGATAACGCTCTCTTTTGTACTCTGTCAATATCAGCACTCAGGTGCTGGGGCAATGCGCACCAACCAATCAAATAACAGATTAAAAAATATTTTTTTCTCATAGACAAATCAGATTTACAATCAAAATACGTTTCAGGCCTATTTATTTATTTTTAATGCATATTTTCATTGTTTTGAACAGGTTCTTATTTTTAATAAGCGACTACAACGGTCAGTAGCAATTCATTATTGCGGTCAATCAAGTGGAACTGGAGGTCATTATTCTTAAAATAATAACCTCCTTTTCTGCCTCAATGACCCTAATAATAACCTGCTGTTCTATCTCACTAAAAACAATGAAATTATGCATTAAATTGGATAATGCACGAACTCCTCGCTCGGTCATTATTTTTAAGAAGGCCTCGGAGCTCATGCATTATCTAGCCTGCGAACAGGCCTGTTCGCAGGCTAATGCATTATCCTATATATAGGCGCAGAATAAAGACATACAGAAGTGTAACTTCCATTACAAAACCGTAATGCGCTTTTTTACCGAAATAGCTGGCGGCCATGTTCTTAGCAAGTGAGAGGCATTCACCCCCCTGGGATATTAAATTTTCAATATGTTTTCAGGGGGTGACTGCCTCTCTTTAGGGCACTTGCTAAGAACATGGCGGACTGAAAAAAAAACCCTTACGCGAAATTAACCTGAAGTGAGATCTCTGTATGTACTTCCTCTGTGATATAGGCCTGATCGCAGATTATGGCGATCACGACTTTTGATTGATGATATTTATAAATTTTCATTTACTTCGGGACACTTCGCGCCAAATTGTAATTTACCGTGCGACATGGCATGCTGCTTCACAGCCATTAAATATACTAAAATTTCGGCGGAAAATATTTAATACATACGAGCCGGGTCGTTGTAGGATTGCTATAGGGTCGTTGTAGGTGGTTGTAGCGTCGTTATAGGTAGTTGTAGCGTCGTTGTAGATCGTTGTAGCGTCGTTGTAGGTGGTTGTAGGTGTTTGTAGATCGTTGTAGCATCGTTGTAGGTGGTTGTAGCGTCGTTGTAGGTGGTTGTAGGTGGTTGTAGATCGTTGTAGCATCGTTGTAGGTGGTTGTAGGTGGTTGTAGGTGGTTGTAGGTCGTTCCTTACTTTAGTACCTACGTGCATGCAATCACTCACAGCAGAGTCAGATGATATACATACAATTACTCTTACACATCACATGACGGCGAGACACAGAGTAGGGCAGAGTATCAATAACACTGAAAAATCCTGCCCAAAGTCAACACGGTTACACAAGAATTAAGAGTTAGGTGCGTCTTATATAGCACAAAAGAAAATCATGCCAGCAGAACTAAATTAAATAGTTTCTTAATAGTTTAATTAAATACTGATCTAGCGGCCTTAATTCTCCTATGAAAGTTTAATATTGTGAATGCTATGCCTATGGACTCCGTCTTTCACTTTCAGGTTTCAGTCTTTAATTTATAAATTTTACTTAGTTAATAAAATAATTAAACGCAATATGTAACACTGTAATCCGTAGCCGTGTAAGTAGATCAAAACAAAATGATTCAGTATTCTATATAATGACTATATTGAACCACTCGAGCAACCAAGTAACGGATATTGTGTCACTTCTTTGACGTTGTTTTTTTTATTTTATATGCACAGTAGTTATGACAGCGATCATAGAAGCAATATACAGTTTTAAATTTAAACTACATGAAAACCGTTCTAAAATCTTTTTTAGTCACTCAAACACCCTTGGCCTTGCAGGCCAATTATTCTTTTTATTCGGAGTTAACGCAAAGTATAAATGATGGGGAATGCACGATTTGCACTTTATGCCAAGCAGGCTGTGTCCAAACCTCCTTGTCCTTGACCTATACTATAGCTTACACCATATGCTTACACTTGTTGTCAATCACAATAGTCAATAGTGATTACTGGAGTGATACTGGTTCGGCGGTCAACTACAAAATGTCCTTGACGCAAATTAACTCTCTTTTATCCGCATAATCCATTTCCTGCTATTGTTTTTGATAGGTGACATACACTTGAAACAAAATTGATAATAATAAATTAAAGAATAATTAGTTTCCCTCGAGTGCATCTTTTCAACCGTCATCTATTTTAGTGTTGTGCGTGCATGTCTGCATGCAGCTGACAATTTCAAGACAATGTAGCAATATGCCAATAACCAATGGCAATGCGGTAAAAATTACTTAGTGGCAAACTTCGTTTGCCATTCATGCTCCCAGTATGCAACTACGATCGGTAAGTGAAACGGTAACCAATGGCAATGCGATCTTTTGTTAATTCAGTGTTACTATAGAGTATAGATATAGAAACTTTCTTCTCTGGCTGTCCTTCCTTATTGCCCATTTACACGGTGACTTGCATCAATTTTTCAAACGTATATACTAGCTATCTCACAAACTAGGCCTGATTATCATGTGATCTCATGTGCATATTTTCTCACTTGTTCTTAAAATTATGGTATACGGTATTGTTGAAAAATTCTACATTTTGCATGCGAAAAACATGTTATAGTAGAATTAATATGAAAATAAAATATGAAAATAGTTTTTAGTATTTCTGAGAATGAATCCGCTGTAATAGAATCTGCATGTCCTGACTCCTGGGCTGTAAGAATCTGCACGTCCCATTGCCCATTGGCATTGGATAACTCGCTTTGGCTCGATAGCCGAATGTAATATTAGTTACCATATTTGTAACTATTTTCAGGTAAAAGTTATGATGGAATTTCAAATGCCTTCTATATACTTTTCCTCACAAAGCAAAGGATGATGAATGTTTATGTGTATGCATGTATGGCAACAGTGATGCCTGGACTTCATGGTGGCGTGTTCCTGCATCGGTGTTCAAAACCTACTCCGCAATATTCCAATGTTATCTGTTATTATGACTTGTTTGCAAGTCATGAAGACTGAAACAGAACTACGCGGGTATATAACTTATAACACTAAAACATACTGTAAATAATAAAATGGCACGTTTTCATCACATGTATAAGTTCAACGTGCATTTTACGATCATCACTATATATAATCACATTGCATGCGTGTTTCACATCTGTGGTTAACTGGTGGTTATATACAGCACATTGTTTTGTTCAGACATGCACTATTGAGCGAATACATGTATCGCTATACAATTGCATGCATGGCATATTGGCACATGCCCTTCGTTTGTTATTTGACGAATGAAAATAAAATGGTCCAATAACCAGTTATTCCACAGTATATATCCAGTCCGAGATGGAGTACTCGCCTCAACATGGTGAAACTTGGCCTGGGCCCTGGATACGTACGAGGTTGCAGATTTGTAAAATGTGACAAAAAGGCCATTGTGATACAAATGAACGAATAAATTGTAAAAAGTTCACATTTTCATTTATATGCATTCAGCATTCTATATCACAAATCATACATTTTCTCGCCAAACAACACGCTTTGCGAGAAAAATCTGGGGAGGCCATAGATTATTTATTTCATAGACCATTTCAGACCATATCGTATCTATATACTGACGAAGTGTACCAAATGTATATGAAGGCATGCGCACACAGACTGTTACCATTAGTAACATGTCTTTTTCGCAACATTCCATTGGATATTTTGACTACATCTAGGCGGTGAATATATGCGGAGAAAGAGACGAGTGAGGGGTAGGAAACATCCTCCAGTTATAAGGAGGAATTTACAGCTTCTCCAACACATGCATGGCCCATTGAAAAATCTTAATTAGACACTATACTCTTCCACACTGCTCGCGAATCTCACTTTCAAATTAGCTGAAATCTTCATCATTGATTTTGAAAAATAATCGCTCCTTGGAGTATTAATAAAATTGGATATTCTGTTAAGTTTTTGTCGAGTTTTCCCTGTCTAATGCAACGCGCTGAGCAAACTGTTTACTAAGTTCCCTCATGATTTCTTGATGACTGGATCTTGGTTCTTTTGCTTTGATCTTACCATAATTATCTTTAACAAACAAAGAAAACTTTGTAGGAGCTCTTGTTTTGGCAGTGGTTCCATCTTTGTTCAATCTCGGAAGAAGTTCCAAGTGACTAAAAAAAGACAAGGACATTTAATACAAATAAACAAAAATGTTGAATAAGATTCATGGTAAATTATATTCTTATAGGGTATACTAAGTATACACCACAGCCAGAGGTCCACAGGGGAGGAAGCAGAAACTGCATGTATAAAGTTCCATCGTGCCTTTTCTTTTCCAAAGCCTACTTTACTCGAAGCCATATTAATACCTATACCAAAGTAACCAAACACAGAAAACAATGGATCTTAAAGACAAATCTTTCAGAAAATACGACACTTGACTCAGTGGCGGAAATCTTGGTGGGGCGGCC